TCATGATTTTACTGATCATTTCACTACCCGTTAACAGCCGCCGTCAAGACAATTTAGATTGAGACAAACTAAGGCCGGCAGAGATGGAAGATAGAAATCTGCAAAGGTCGATCAGTCTGAAATTTTACAATATCCTTTTGGATACAGCCCTCCTCGCAAAGTTATATGGACTTTTGATGCAACTTTACGACTTTTTCTGATGATCCAACGGAAATAGTGGATTCTTCGCGAAAAAAGCGTGCTACTAAGCGGCGTGTTCACATCGATGGACTCAGCTCACAGATGTACATTAGTCCCGTATAGTACACTGCCATTCCTAGCGTGGAGTCTATTTGCTTTAAATTTGACCTGATCAGGAAGAAAGAAGCCCATGTTTATGCATTGGAAGCGTCAGACCCATTTTCGTTGGATGAATGAATGGGGGAGCACTTTCCCACTCACTTCAATTGATCTATATGTAGCTGAGAAAGAAAACTATAAGAATTCTGCAAAGGTACGATGAGATTATTTTTCGAACATAAATGAATCTTTTTTGATCCAAGAAGGGATGGAGTTTTCTCTAGTTATTACAAAGATTAACAATTTTCGCTGGCACTGTTCTTTGCCGTCTTTCATCGCCAATCGATGTTGTGGTAAACGGCTGAGTTCCTCTTTGCTTGAAAATATCTTACTTTTGCTCTATATTTGCGTGTTGGCTACCATTTGAAGACAAAAAATTTCAAAGATTTCACTGTCATGAAGTTTGGACACAAAATTGTGATATTTATAAGACTGAATATCAGATTCCAGTGCGTGAGCTATCGAAGGTTTCCTCGATCTATGTGACGAAAAACTCGTAAGAGATGGTTTCCATGGATTTTCGCTCAAAACAAAATCATTTGCTTCAGCTATCGGTGCGGTCAGTATCGAGGTTCGGAGCTCTGGAAATTTGGATTGTTCACAGTCTTATTTGAGAAAAAAAACACTTAACACAAACCAAAAAAAATCAAATACTATAAAAACTAAACTGCCAAAAAACAAAACAAAAGAAAACCGCGGGTGAGACGCGATGGCTTTGTGGCTTCGCCCCGAAAAAAAAGACGACCAAAAACATCTTCCTTCTCCGCAACTGAAGTCAAGAATACCAGTCAGAATGAATCGCTTATGCAGCGACAATGTCACAACTTCCTCGTCAAAGGACAAAGCAGATAAAACAGCTTGTCTGCAAAAAGATTTAGGGAGCAAAGTTCAAAGCAAGTGGTCATCACGGATTCCGATTGCGGTGAATGGGAGGAAGACCAAAGTTGATTCTAAAGATAATCTACTCATGAATTTCAAAACTATTCAAGGAGGAAAACCTCTTGAAAAAGATTCAGGTATGTTTATTTCTCAGCAGTTAGCCAGCATCAGTTTTTTCACTGAAGTAATATATCGAAAATTGAAGACATTCTATAAAACGGTTTCAGGCGAACGGCTGGAATCACCATATTGTCTGTATCATAACATACGCCGTAGGTAAAAGAAGCAGCAACTGAGATAAATTGACGGAAACCAAGTTGTACAGGGTTGAAAAGACACTAATTGAATGTTCCTCGATTTAAAAAAGTCGATGAGTAAGACTTGTTTTTAACTTTAAATTCCTATTTAATGTAGAAAAAGATTACTGCCATTAATTAATTCTCGGTTGTCATCACATTTCTATTCATTTATTTGTTTATTAACTCTTTGTTCAATTTTCCATTTCATTTATTTATCTATTTTATTTATTAACATATTTTAACTTCACCTGAGTAAAGATTTTCCTCAAGTTTCTAAGATTTTGATCCAGAATTAAGCAAGCCTCTTTCGGTTGCTAATTTCATCAGCCATCTTGTTTATTTCAAGTCACTTAGTCGATGCTTGTTTGCACAAACTGGAGGCAAATTTCTGCAGTTACAGCTTCATGACATTTGCTAAAGAAATGAAAAGCTTGCACCTAGTTTTTCTTATAGGGGGGGCTAATTGGTAATCTCGATTTGATCACAGGTATTAAACTGCGAAAAACTCAAGGTACACAAGACAAGAAAACGGAAAGTGCCATTCCTTCAACCACAGCTAAACAAAGCAGTTACAGGCGCGCTCCGAAAACCACGCCAATTGTCAGGCGACGTGTACCACGACAGCTTACACCAACAGAGACAGAGTCGAAACAGGTAAATCTGGGAGGAAAATGTCATTTCAGCAAATACCAGAGGTGAAGTATTTCACAGCGACAGCTGTCTCTTTTGGAAGGTCTGGAACTTAATATCGTGATTAGCCTTTGTTTCACATCTTCACGAATTAGGAATGTTAGGTTTATGAAGGATATCCACAAATATAAAAGCTGCAACAAAAACAACGCATTTTGCGCTTTTATAATCAGGTATGCCAGGATGAGAAAGAATCAGGAGAAGAAAGCTCAGCGAGAGAGAAATCATCTGCAGAAAGGGCGGAAGAGGTCACGCCAAATGTCACCACAGCTAAACAGAGCAGCTATAGGCGCGCTCAGAAAACGACGCCAATTGTCAGGAGACGTGTACCACGACAGCTTACACCAACAGAGACAGAGTCGAAACAGGTAAATCTGGGAGGAAAATGTCATTTCAGCAAATACAAGAGGTGAAGTATTCACAGTGACAACTGGCTCTTTCGGAGGGTCTGGAACTTAATATCGTGATTAGCCTTTGTTTCACATCTTCGCGAATTAGGAATGTTAGGTTTATGAGAGACATCCACAAATATAACAGCAGCAACAAAAACAACGCATTTTGTGCTTAAATAATCAGGTTTGCAAGGATGCGAAAGAATCACGAGAAGAAAGCTCAGCGAGAGAGAAATCATCTGCAGCAAGGGCGGAAGAGGTCACACCAGAGGTCACCACAGCTAAACAAAGTAGTTATAGGCGCTCTCAGAAAACGACGCCAATTGTCAGGCGACGTGTACCACGGCAGCTTACACCAACAGAGACAGAGTCGAAACAGGTAAATCTGGGATGAAAATTTTATTTTCAGCAAATGCCAGAGGTGAAGTATTTCACAGTGACAACTGTGTCTTTTGGAAGGTCTGGAACTTAATATCGTGATAAGCCATTGTTTCCCATCTTCGCGAATTAGGAATGTGAGGTTTATGAGGGATATCCAGAAATATAACAACTGCAACAACAACAACGCATTTTGTGCTTTAATAATCAGGTTTGCAAGGATGAGAAAGAATCACGAGAAAAAAGCTCAGCACAAAATATCAGACTGGAAACAGAGTCTGGTACAAAGAACAAGATGGAAGAAAATGTTTTGAGCGAGGAAGAGTTGGACTGTGACTCTTTCACTGAGTCCAGCGGATACGAACGGAAAATGGCTGAGCTGAACGAAAAATCCAGACGGCTCAAGGCACAGTTTGCAGAGGAAAACAGACAGGTTGTCGAATCTATGAACAAGACAAAGGAGAAGATCAAACAGAGCCAGGCAAGGGAAGATTGCATCACAAATGAGATTGAGGAGATGCGACGGAGACGGGATGAAATAAAAGAAGACTTGAAACGACTTGATGAGATCGGCCAAAGACGAGAGCTCGAGGATAAAAAATGGAGAGAAAACATGGACAAGAAAAAGAAGAGAGTCGCAAATAGATTGGAGAAGATAAGAGCCGAACGACGTAAATATCAAGAAGAGACGGCTGATGAAAATGACTCAACAGAAGGGTATGATCAACCGGATAAGAATCCCAGTGAAACTCCAGAGAGTGAGAAAAGCAAAAATGTCACTATAAGAAACGAAACCGTTATAAACGAAGACGTTGGTAACGAAGAATTACGTGAGTCTCATCAGATCATAGAGTACAAAAGTGTAAAAGAGCTGGAAAAGAAGCGGAAAGAAGTAAAGCAGTTGAAGAGACTGGAGAAGAAGGCGATTAAAAGAGAGAAGTTAGAACAAAGAGAACGTAAGAAGATCGAAAAAAAGAAGCGAAAAGTTGCTCGCAAACTTGAGAAACTCTCAGCTAAGAGTTCAAAGGTTTTGGAAGAAACTGCAGTAGTTGCTAAGTGTATAAATGAGGCTATGGAGGCTACGAATACAATGGCGAAAGAGAAAAATGATAAAACCCCGAGAGCAAATGGAATTAAACCATCCGTCGACACCTCTTCAGATATCGCAGAGTCTAAGCAAGTTCAAGCACTTCACTCTTCTGGATTAATTACGAATGGAGCGGAGGTTGAGAAATTGGAAGAGACGTTGGCTAAGGTTGATAGGCTAATAATGGGACATACAGACTCTATGGTCGACGAAACAGCGGACAGCCAACAAAGTAACCGAAAATATAGCATGGAGAGGGTGCTTCGACAGGATAACTTTGACTGTTTCCCTAATGAAGTTGAGGGAGACATGCACACAGAGGAAAGCAGGTCTCAAGTTTCACTGAGAGCTGAGAATGAGGACAACGAGAAAAATGTCCATGAATGCGACGCCTTACCGAGATGTGAGCAATCGGTGGCAGCAGTCGTAAACATAACGGAATATTTAATCCAACAAGAGTTGTCCAAGGTTTTGGAAACAATTATCCCTATCAGTGAGTATATATCGCGATCGGAAGAAAAGATCTCAGAGGAAGAACCAAAGCTCCACAAAGAAAATGTGGAAATGGAATTTGGGAAACTTAAAAGGGAAAATACCGAGCTCGAAATGCAGATTTGCATCATAAACGAGGAACTTGAAACGTACCGAAAGAGGATAGAAACTTTACAGGCTGACCTGGATGGGAGCAAAGTTGAGGTTAAGCAACTGCAGTCTAAGGAAGAATACAAAGAAAGAGAGCTGGCAAATTTAAAAAGTGATTTCCAGAGAAAGGAGCAAAAATGGGAAGATGCAAATGAACTCTTGGAAAAGGTTATGGTGGAAAGAGAAGAGTTATGGGATCATGTTGATTACTTGGAGGAAAGCTTGAAAGACAGTCAAGAAAGCAATGAAACTCTGACATTTGAGGTCGATGAGCTGACGATAATGATACAGGAGATGAAGAGAGAGTACAGGCTGGATCACAGTCGCTGGGGATGTGGACACCTACGTGAGGAAGTAGAGTTACTAAATGGATCTCTGGAGTTGAATGAACAGAGAACAGTTTTATTAAAGAGGCAAGTGGACGCATTTGAAGCAGAAAGAAAACAGTTAAGGGGCGATGTTGATTTCTTGGAGGAAAGCTTAAAAAACAGTCAAGAAGGCAATGAAGATCTGACGTTTGAGGTTGATGGGCTAAAGATAATGATTCAGGAAATGAAAAGGGAGAATACGCAGCTTAGTCGCCATGGATGCGGACATTTACGCGAAGAAGTAGAATTACTAAACGGATCCCTGGAATTAAAGGAACAGCGAGTAACTCTGTTGAAGAGCCAAGTGGACGCCTTTAAAGAAGAAAGCTGTAGTTTTCAAAATGTTACGCAGAGCATGAAAAGAGAAATAGAGATTCTTAAGAAGGAAAATGTGACAAAGACGACGCAGTTGCATAAGCTAAAATGCGAAACATCAAAGACCATTAGTGATCTTAAAGATGACATTGCAAAGTTACAACAAGAAAAGTCTGCATTGTCATCGGAACTATCAAAGGAATCAGGAAGAGATCACCACTTGTATGAGTTAAGATGTGAAAAATCGAGTATGACAGGAACACTTGAAGATCATATAACAAGGTTGAGGAGAGAGAACTGCACTTTGACTGCAAGACTATCAAAGGCTTACGAAAAGGATGACCAGTTGATTGAACTAAGAGAAAAAGTCCAACTTTTAGAGAATCAGTTGAAAAATGTAACTGAGGCGGCAACGGCGTCTGTGAACAGGAAAGAGAAGGAAATGGAGGAAGATTACCGCATCATAAAGAAGCAAGATCAAACGATCAAAAATTTAATCGAAGAGATCACGCAGGAAAGATGTGACAAGGACTGCCTCGAACAGCAGTCTAAAAGAATACGAGAACTTGAGACTCAATTACAAAAAAAAGAAGACATGAAAAGAAACACAAATCACTCAGTGGATGCCTTGGTGCTTGAGGTGAAACAGGAAAGGTCAGAAAAAGAGCGTCTGAAGAAAAGGGCCATGCAAGCAAAAAAGGTTGGTTCTTGTAGAGAGAAAGAGCTTGAAGAGAGAATTGAACTTCTTGAGAATCAGTTACGCGCAGAAGATGAGCTGACAAACACCACTCTTATGTCTCTAAAAAACAAGGAAAGTTCGTTACAGGAAGCTACTGCCACTATCGATATGCTCACAGTGGAACTGGAACGGGAGAAGTCGGAAAAAGAAACTCTGAGAAAGGCTGTCGAAGTGTCTGAGTGTAACTCTCATAACGACAAAAGATTGACTGAGAACATTGAAACACTTGAGAAGCGATTACTAGAGATGAGTGATCTACGAGAAAAGACTCTTATATCTCTTAAAGAGAAAGAATGGTCATTGCAGGAGACTCATGATGATATCAATGAGTTAACTCAACAGATAGCACACAAAAAGTCGCACAAAAAGTTTTTCAAGAGGAAGGCTAAGGCTAAAACGGGTAAAGCTCATCGATTGAATCTCATTCAAAAAGGAACAAAAAGATATACACAGGAGAGGGGTTCGTTTATAGCAGGCGTGGGAAAACGGCTGAAGAATCTGGTACAAAGACCAAGAGGAGTGTCCGCATCGAGCCTGGTAATGAAAAAGAAGGAAGCCCATGCAGAGTGTGTGTTAGACAAATTGAGGGAAGATTTGAATGAAAGAGGAGAAGTCATTCAAGACTTAAGGAGTAATTTCAAAGACAGTGCTAAGGAATTGTCGTCCATGCGACGTCAGCTTGAAGATATTCAATGCCAAAATGCCGAGCTCATACAGTGTCTTGGACACAAGGAGGAGGATCTTCAAAAGACGCAAAGATACTTAAAAGAAAAGGAAGCCAGCCTTGATGTCACAAATGAAACCCTGCGTTTGAAATGCTCGCTTCTCAGGGCCATGGAGGCCAAATTATGTCTGACGAAGAAAGAGATTGAAGAATTGACACAAGTCAACAAAAAGAAAGGCTTAGAGATAACTCGCATTGAGACAACCCTTACAGAAGTGAGAAAAAAGTTGGTTATTGCTGCATCCTTCATCGAGAAGCAAAATGAACAATGTGCTAACCTTAGGACTTGTGCTATGAAGAAGACCCGAGATGCGGATAAGATACAAGGCGAATTGAAACGCTTCTCACCTCAACTTGAAAATAGCAGGAACGAGAACGCAAACCTACACAGAGCATTGTTAGCTGCTACAGAGCGTCTTACAAGGGAGAAGCAAAGGCAGTTCAGCGGGACTGAGTTACTGAAAGATGGGCACGAAAGGAAGTCCTCTGAGTTATCATGTGAGGTGAGATATTTCCCTCCCTAAGCGCGAGACGCAAGAGCGATGAGAGCGATCTTGAAGCAGGAGACGATGTACACGAAGACTACACCCTAAAATCCCATTGTCAGCTTTCACTTTCTGCTCTTTTTGGAATTAATTGATGTGCTGTAATTTTGACTTGCATATTTTCAAGCGAGTAATTAATTTTTTTCGTATCTTCTACAGGAAAGCACTTCTAACACTCTGAAAGCCAGGAGACAAATGGATGCGTACAAAATAACATTTTTGGAAGACGAGAGTAATGTGGCAGGCAGTAGTCAGGGAGACACTGAAAATAAATGGTCAGTAATATATATTTTTTGTTACCAGGATATGTAACAATCATATCAATAATTACTGACCCTCATAAAATCCTATTGTTCTCTCTCAGCATTATATCGGCGATTTCAGCCTGAGAAAATATGAAGATATGAAGGGGCGACTGAAATCGTCGATGTAATGCAGAGAGAGAACAATTGGATTTTATGAGGGTCAATAATTATAATAGTTAATTACTGAGGTTCGCAGCATTATTGGGTATAATGCTGCGAACCTCAGTAATTATCTATTAATTAGTGCATTTTGGATATGAGATGGTAAATAGCCAACGAAATACGTAGCGCCGAGCAGAGTATCACCAGTCTCTATCCAACAAGCGTCTGATGAGATAATTATTAATTATTCAACTACATTAAATCCCGAACGTTTGGATATTTGGAGCTTTTTTCAACTCCGTGCCATGTATTTCCATGTGAAGTGACTAGGAATATGAGCTGATAACCGGAGTTGAATAAACCAATCAGAACATTAGAAATGCAACATTCGGGGTTGAAAATTTAATGATATGATATAGCTTTAAGTAAAGCTGCAACCCTCGTCACAACTGTTGCAGAACAAATCTTTTTCGCCGCGTTTAAAAGGCTTAGTATTGAAAGAGGTTAGTGATAAATCAAAACTAGACGAAGATTTTTGCCAGTAAATAGAAACCCTTTAAGCCCAAAATTTTACACAAGGTTATTCCTGGGAATAAAAAAGTTTCAAAAAGAGCCAGGATACATTGATTGGGACTTACGCAACATTAAAGGTCACATTTTCACCAGTCATAACGTATCGTCTTCAATGGTATTTTTATATTTTCTTCAAACTTCTCCTTGTCATCTTTCAACGGGTAATTTAGAAATAAGTGTCTCCCACTTTTAATTGCAGGTTCAGCACTTTTAGATTGGACCAACATCAGTTTGAAACACGGGGAGATCGACATTTTAACTGCGCTGGTACTATCGCCAAGGTTGACCATGCTATGCAGAACTTCTCAACACACAGATCACCTAATTCAGTTTCGATACTGCTGTGCAATGGTTAATGTTATGCAGGAGAAGTACCAATGCAACGAATTGGCAAACGGGAGCCAAGTGATGACATAAGACTAATTTTTATTATTGAAAATTTCGGATGCAGTCGAGATAATCTTTTATTTTTTGAGAGGGTATACTTCTTACCTTCAAAAAAGCATTCGTGTCTTGACATTAAGTGTAAATATATTAAAATACTCTAAAAATATGTTTATTTTTGTTCTGTGTTAGGGAAGGGGACAGTACATAATAAGAAAAGGAGCAATCTTCTTCTTGCATCTTACAGGCACTTATACACAAGCAGGGGACTGGAAGGCAAAATTTCACACCTTAATCACTCTGTTTACGAACATGACAATTTCGACATTGCTGATTGTAACAGTGTGCGCTTGCAAAACACGAACCTAGTATGTGCTTGGCTTATCCCGAAGTCTCTGCTGTAACTCAGTTTTGTAGCATTGGAGCGGAATTTATAAACGTCCGGGTTCTGCGGAGGGTGGGGGCTCAGATTGTTGTTTGTCCCATGATAGCACTGCTCAAGTTCATGATATTGAAGCTTAATCGAGAAGTCCTGGGTCAGGTTCCTTCTATCTGTCATCTTGTAAATTTCGGGCTCTGACAAACATTGACGACACGGTAAACTGACTCCTCCCTAATGATTCCTTATCGATCTCCTCACTAACCCTCTCTTAGATTCACTGGCGCTGATAATGATAGAAAACTTAACCATGATTCTTTGATTCTATTAGAAGTTTTACCAAGTAATAAATTGGTTGACCCTTGTTGAGGTTGAATGTGACCTGGGCACTATTAATTTACCGATAAACATTCGGTTTCTTGTATTTCTATGTCACAAGGTTTTCCATAGGTGTCACAGGAAAAAAAATTATCTTTGTTCGTGGGAACGGACGACGAAGTTGATACTGTTGCATTTACCACTCATTTATCGGGAAAGAGCTGTAATATTTGAAACGAAACGCGTCGAAACGATCATCTTCCACCATATTGGAAATTTAAACACGAACCTTTACGAGTATAGTACTTAATTTCTTCGTAAGGGAAAGATTTCCTCGTCAACCCATAATATACTAAAACAAGGCCTCTGCCATGTTAGTCAGCAGTCAGCATTCTTCACCTCGGGTGGTGGAGGGAGGGGTGGGGGGAGGATTTGGTCGGATCGCATGGTTTTCAAGGGGGAACGGAAGGGAGATCAGTAGTCGCCAACAGATAGTCCAACACCCCTAGCCGAAAAGAAAAACAGAACTAAAAAAAAAAGGTGAAAGAGTCAAAGGAAAAAAACCATAATAAGCAGTTTTAAAGTTACGGATAGCTTTTCTTTCTTTTCTGAAAATTCGCCAGCACCCACCCTGGATGGAAAGGACGCTGTGACAGTAACGTATGTTGCCGAAGAACAGAACTAAATGGACCGGCCACGGCTGAACTCAGACCTTTCTTCCTGAGCGGCAGACTGTTTATTACTGGTAATAAAATGTCCACTCTCAGCGGGTGATTATTGAGCTGAATTATTCGTTCGGTCAAGAACGGATTTGCAATCGCGTGCCCATGGACAGATCCTAAAGTAAGATAGATAGTAAGATAAAAAACGTCACTCCATACCAGAAGAACATTAACAAATAGTCAAAAAGAAAGTCATCTTCAAAAAAATACAGAAAAACCCTTTAATTAAAGGAGGGAAGACGAAGGTTATTTCTTGGGAAAGGTGGCTGTAGAGGAATTCCTTAGTCATATGGGTCGAAGCTTTTACTGCGTCAGTGTTAAAGGAGAATTAATAAGTATTAATTTTTGATACATAACTCACCTAACTTTGTCTCCAAAGGGCAGGCTTGATGAATGGATTAAACAAAGCCAAGAGTTGAGGGCCATCGCGTCACACTCCCACCTGTAATTCATTCCCCCCCACCCCCTCACTGAAACAGAAATGGACAGGCAACGGATGGTGGCGTTATAATTACGCATTTCCAAAAAATTTTCATCTAACAGGATATTAACCTTGGTGATGGAACTGAATTTGAGAACTTTCAAAAATTGATTCAGCATAAGGATTGTCGACCATCTATCAGCGAAGAGATCCGTATTGGAAAACATGTGCTTCTGATTGTTGGCTCTTATTTTCCTTTTGGAATTTTGTTAAAATATGTACAACAGAGGATGAACTGTGTTTTGTAAGACTGAAACTTTTGAAGTTTTCTGGCTTGAATATTGGGCTATAAAAACGTGTTATCTTGCACCTTTACCAGTCTAACACCTAGTATTTGATGTAAATATAAAAATAATGCACCACTTCAACAGATCAACTCTTCACTATTAATAATAATTTTGAAATGTCAGGAATACAGTTTCTTTTAATCCCCAAAAGATTTAGTTAAGCCCTGTTTCGACAGCACTTGGGAGGTATTGGGGTGTCAAGGGAAATAAAAAACAACGCTTATGCAAAAATTTAGGGGAGAAAAAGAATGTTACTAGAATTAAGGAAAATTGGTGAATTGTTTAGATTTTGAGTGGCAGCTTGTGGTGTGTAGGGTTCATTTGTTCATAAGTGTACATGGTTGCATTTTATTCATGAAAATAAAAGATTTTTGTTATTGCATATTTTGTTCTAAGTCTTCTATAATTAGAAACTATTGCCTGGAAAACATGAGGCAAGGTGAAGTGAGGACGTTATTTACATGCACCAAGCTATCATCAATTTGCACCAGAATGCCTATAATGGATGACCAGTTCAGAAGGTCTGAGGGTTGACTCCTCTTGGGGTCTCAGAATGTTTCCCTTGCTCCACACTCACAAAGGAAACATCTCTCTCTAAGACCTGTCTTGCTGGTTTGGTATGAGGAAAACCCTCCGTTTCTTGTCAAAATTTTCAGTATGAAAAAGTGGCCTCCTTACAGTGAAACTGAGAAAACTGAGAACTCTAGAAATGTTTATGGGATGTTATTTGTTCCAAGGAGAAGGCCTATTAGCCACAAGAGCAGCAATTGTTTTAAAGCTGTGGTTTTGTGGCTAACTACTTATTATAACTTGTAATGAGCTTGGACAGTACACAACCGACCTGTCAGAATCAATTCAAAGTGCTCATGGCTTTCTAAGTCTTGCAGTATTTACATGTAGTTTGAATCTTTAGCAATGATAGACATTTGGATTAATTTTTGGCTCTCTGACACTATTAAGACTTGACTCAATGAATTTCAATAGCATTTTCTCATTGCTTTATGGGCAATCCTTTTGGCTCTTCTGAAATATTTTGGTAATATTTTTGCCATTAAGTGAGATGCACAATGTGGAGAAAATTTCAGCTTTCCTTACTGGTCATCTAATCTGGATTAGATCAAATTTGAAGATTAGCTCTTGTCCTAGCCCAGGTTTACTAATACATTATCAGATTTTTCCTAATAATCCACACAAAATTTATCCCTTGAACAATTATGGCCAGTCATTGTAACTGAGTGAATTATTCTTCATAATTCACTAGGTATAGGTTGAAATATCTATGGTTTTAAAACATGTACTATAGCCTTCATCAACATTAAGGAATCGAGATAGATCTTTTTAGATCTTTTTCTATCAACTCAGTTGATAGAATAAAGTCATTTTGTAATATGTGACCCTCCATGGGAACACGGACACTAACGCTTTTCCGTTAAACGGTCTCGAAAAACGGTTGTAAACGGATAGTAAACGGCTAACTCGAGCGTTTAAACGGATGCCATAACCGCTTAAACGGATGGCAAAAAATTTAAACGGTTGACCAAAGTCCAAAAACGGATAGCTTAGGCCTTCAAACGGTTGACCAAAAATAAAAACGGATAGCACGAAACGTTAAACGGTTGACCAAAGTTCAAAAACGGATAGCTCACACTGTTAAACGGTTGACCAAAAATAAAAACGGTCAGCCCAAAATGTTAAACAGTTGACCAAAGTCCAAAAACAGATAGCTTAAACCGAGAAACGGTTGACCAAAATCGACAAACGATGAACTAAAAATTAATGTTTAACGGCTGTGGTTGAGCCGGCGAGATCTTCTGCGGAAAAACTTTCAGAGTGACAACGGATAATTATCCTTTAAAGCGAAAACATTGACCATGATAATTTGAAAAATAATAACTAGCATATACTTACGCATTTTATTTCTGGGTTAATAACTGCCGCTTTCGTGTAACATTCATGAAATAAGCGCAATTTACTGAGAATAGTTTCGCTGCCGAATATCCTGAACGGCTACCGCGAGAAACTCATAATCTTCTCCTTTGTTTATTCTTATTATTATTGAAAATGAACTTCATTTTTTCCTGTTCGGAAGTTTCGCGAAACAAATTTGCATATACAATGCCGCCACCTTGTCTGAAGCCGAGACGTTTCAAGGTCAAATAACGCAATGAAGTTCCATTGCAAATAAAAGGTCGAATCGGTGTCACACACCAAGCGGGGCCGTTAAAATGATTGTCAATAAAACCAAGAAAGATGAATCAAGAGGATATAAACAGAAAGAGAGTAGCCGATTTAGCAGTCCATCGACTGGGGGTCTGCGAAATATACCAACCCAGCTCACTGCGGCTGAAACACACCCCGATAGATGCTAGACAACATAAGGTCAGTTCAACTTTATTTACATTACGAGGAACGAGCAAGCTTATGTACATGTTTGCTAAGGTGACACTTCGAGTTAATTTTACTTTTGAAAGGGCTTCCACACTTTTTCTTTCTCCGTGGCAGATTCAATTGGAAAACGGCTAAACACTAGCACCTTCAACGCCTGAAGTTTTGTAACATCTAGTTGCTGTTTATTGTGGGCGCCATCAGTGTTGCTGTTGCTCAGCTCTTCCGAAGAAGAAGAAAGGCAAAAGTTTCAGAGCGCACCGGTGCTTCTCTTTTTCCTTTTCCAAGACGTCTCGCACCCCTTTCGATTTGCTGGGCGTCACCAACGATCGTATGACGTCTTCACCGACTATGTCGTCCTCGAGGGTTGATGGCTGGAGTGCCGGTGTTTGCGGGGTAGTTGGTGCTGGTGGAGTTGAAGGCACTGGTTCGAACACTTCCATCGGATCATCGCTGAGGAATGCCAAAGCCTCGTGGTCGATGGTTTGCAAGTTACCGGTCTGAGGAAGTGGTCCACAATTTACTCCTGGATCACTGAACTAGAAAGTAGGGATATTCACTCGTTAGTTTCGGACCAACGACACCAAACAGGGTCTATTTCCGGTTCCGGTTCAAAGATGCTCAGTATCCTAGTGCAGTTTTCCTAACAAGTCCATTTTACGAAAAGCTTACGCAAATTATACGAAGAAAAAGCAACTACTTACCACTTTCTCTAACGAATCCAGACGTTGCTCAATCTTGTTTTTGCGAAGGGACACGTTATCCTCCATTGCAGACAGTGTGTCCTGTAATGTCTCCATCATCTGTAGAAATGTAATTTGCGTTAGTTCCATAGGTACTTATAAGATACTAACACTTAAGCCTACTTACTCGCCACCAGTTAAAAATAATTCTAAAATTTTGGTGTGATAAGGGAAATTGGAAGAACCTATCAAAATAACACTTACATGCTATTTGCAATCATAACCTCAGTTATATTGACATCTTTAAAGTAGAAAATGAGACAATGGTGTTTCTTCATCCATTTTTGAAAATTCAGATTAACATTGATCAATGTGCTTACCTTGCAGACGCTTTCCTGTACTTTGTTATGCACAGCTTCCACAACAGAGACATTGGCAAGCTGAATGTTGTCGAGTTGTCCCTTCAGGGTTTTACATTCAGCCTCCTTGGCGGCTAACTGCTGTTTTACGGCCTCCAAATCTTTTTCTGTGGTCGCTGTGCATTTCGCTTTCTTGTTGGCTCGATTAGTGGCCCATTCAACTTCTCTCTTTTTCTGCTTAGCCAGAAACGCGCTATATGGATTCCCACAAGTCACTGAACTTTCCTAGGAATAAAAGCATCTTCATAAACACAACGAAATACCAAATGTAAGACCCCCGAAAAAGAAAACATCGTAGGCGTTTTATGACGACTCAGATTGATACAATTGACTCAGACTACAATCAAACTCGGAAGGAGTAATTTCAACTATCATGAATGCCTCACAAAAGTAACCGGTATAATGTTAAATTTCAATTCAGTACAAATTTCAGCATGCACTTGTTACGTTCTGAATCTTCTGTTGAGAATGTAACCGTCTCGCACTCAAGTTTTATTACGTACCACCTTAAGTTTACGTAACAGTTCAAAGTACGTGTAATGTAGTCTGCGAACTGAACGTTGATGAAACGACTATAACTCCTTACACAGCTCAAATCAATTCTATGCGTGAAATATAATTCGATTTGATTCAACCCAAGTTCTCTATTACTTAATGGACAATTATATGATGTCGTTAACAAGTGGAATTTTTTTTTTCCGAAATCAACACGACCAACCTTATGAATACTTGAATTGATTTGAGTTTTCCGTGGCTGCTGGCTTTCTTCCTGTTTTTCGACTGGTAGTTTGGACTGATTGGAAATTGGATCGGGTTCAGTTGCGGAAATGAACTTGGATGACCAGTCAATGTCTTTTTGATTGAGAATCTCTTCGTTATCTGTAACCAAGGACACAATGAGGGTAAGTTCGCGCAGTAATAAATGCAGATGTGTAAAGAGCCCATGAAAAAAATGACTGAACAGAATCTTTGTTTGTCTAGCAAAGAATTATCACAAGGAAAGGTTGTAAGACTTACCACCCACAGCTATAATCTCTGCTTGTGTCTTCTTGCCCTACCAGTTGACTGTCACCGTGCTCCCTTCTTTGTATTCGAAGCTTTTACCCAAAATCAACCTTGAAGGGGCGATACCAGTAGTCCTTTCTTGTGAAAAATACAGTAACACTTTTGACGGCCGTTTACTAGTTTCTTTGCATAGTTGCACTATGCAAAGATGCAGCACCAGTAGTTCTTTTTTTTTTAAATTTACCCCCTTTCATCATTTATTTAAAAAGGTTAATTTGTTCTCCTAGTCTATTTAATGATCCCATATTGTCTGAACATGGTTCCTATTGAATCAACCTCAAAATCAAATACATTCATTCCTGTCATAGACTGAAGTAAATGCGATACTTTGCATAAAACAATTGAAGACCCCTCACTGTGTTGATAACTGATCTCTTACTCGTCAATATTTCAGTACAGAAAATATCCTACATTTGACTCAAAGAAAAGAGCTTATCAAACTGAATTCCCAGTTTTTTAGGAATTCCTAGGAATTCTCAAAAATTCCCAACTATGCAAATGAGCTCTGATTTGAAAAGCTTGGAATTACTGGGAATTTTTGGGAAAGGAAGACTCCAGTTTAATGAGGACTTGGAATTCTTTGGAATTCCTAGGAATTCTTTGCTATACAAACTACCCACAATTTGAGAAAGGTGGAATTATTGGGAATTTCAGGGAATTTAAAATTTGAGACAGTTTAAATGACCTGAAGTTCACATAAATTCCAAGAAATTCTCAATACCTTGAATGTGAAGGTTTAAAGATAAGGACTAATTTTAGAACCTTAAAACTTTGGCTCAGTAAAAGGTATGCTATACAAAATTTACCAAGAGATATTAATACCTGTATATGTTTCTAACTTAAAGATCACAAAATTTATTATTCAAAATAAATTTTAGTAAATCTTTACATTAATATGGATTTTCTCATGAAGCAGTAGTAAATTATGTTAAATGCAAGTTATCAATGTACAAAACCTGTCAGAGACCTTTTTTTCAGATTATTTTTAGTAGAAACTTCATGCCTTAGACAAAAAAATTCAACATCTATTTAATCTTTCTTTTTTCACGATTATTGTTGCTGTTTTTTTCTTTTTTTTTTTGCTCTTTTTATTCTTACAAAACATTTTTTGTAAGAGTTCCAATACTCAAGGATTATTCACACACTCCACAAACATTTGGCATGCAGACAAGACAGCGGTGGTCACTGTTCCCTTCAAGAAATAACACCTTTTCCTTGATTTCTTCAATCGGTTTTACTTGAAACTCAAGTCTGAAAATATTTTAAAATAAGACTTGTTACTAGAGAGAAGTACAAACCAAGTTTCTTTTCATAATTTAATTTCTTAAATGTCCAGGTCACTGGACCTCCTAAAAAATATTACTTCCTTTCATTTTTGGTGCAAAATACTAGTCCTTCTTCATATACAAATGAAAATTGCAAGTCACACTTCAATAATCACAGCTCTAAGGTTACCTTTTGTTCTTCACTGAGTCAGCTATCAACAAAATTGTATTATATTTTTCAGGTATGGTGTAAAATTTAGTTTGTAATTTAAAATGAAAACCTTAGTTTTCCTAACCCATTCCTGTTTCATCCTTAATATGTGATGACCAGCCTCACTAAAGAAGAATAGATTCTGGAGATCTGGCTGTACTTCTCTAAAGACTGCCAATGTGATCCCAGACTGCCAATCCCACACAAAACACTCAACGTCTCCAACCTTGCCACATGCAAACAAGACAACATAGTCATTCTGCTCTACCATTCTGGTGTACTCCTTAAAGTAAAACACTTGTCCATTCTTAAGAATTCGTTGCACTTAAACTTTGCTGCCTCCAATAACTTCCATATCAATCTTCTCCATTAACTCTTGTGGTAGCCCTACAGCTTCTTAGTCTCTCCAGCAATGAAGCAATTCTATGCCTTCTTTAGATTTTTAATTAACTCTAAAACATGAATGGAAAAAAGAAGATTAATATCTTTAATAACAGTGTGTTTTTCGAACAAAAAAGAAGTTGTCAGTAGTGTAAAGAAGCTACTGATGATGATGATAACAATTGCTATCAATATTAAGTTAAAACTATCGTAAAAGAGCAGACAAGTACCTTTAAGAGCAAAAAATCCTGTACTCTCTTTTGGTGTTCAACATTCTTTTGATAAAGTCCTTAACACAACCATTTCCCAACATATCTACCTTGCATCTTAAGCGACTCTGAGCATGAAGGATCCATACAACCTAGTAACAAATTCAAAATTGCACATCAATAATTCATTTCTCCAAATGGAGTGAGAGAAGTAAGTTATAAATTTACTTGATTTAAATTTATGACAGTGGAACCCTAATAACACAGTCAACAAGGGCTCATGAAAATTTAGCTGTATTAACAGGGTAGGAGCAATATCTTCACCGGTCCTGACAGATACTTTTACATTTCTAAACAACTGTAAATTATTTAACAAATATCTGGAATGCAACAACTTTAATATATGCATACAATAGTAACCAAGGGTACTTCATTGAACATAACTGAATTCTACAATTAAAAAAACAACAGACTTAGCCATACATATTCTTCCCAAAAACAATGGTCAGGACTTAACATCATGTTACTTTAAGTTAAATATTGTTTTTCAAGTACTGTATTTGTTTTGTTTGGAAAACAAAGTTGACCATAATAACAAGGTTACCAAATTAATGAGGTGACCATGCGGTGGGGTGGTGTAAAGGTGTTAGGTGTATATTAACAGTCTGTTAAAAGTACCTGTCTACAGACATTTCATGTGCCATGTGTAAAGTCCATGATGGTTCCATTCATGTCCTCAAACCCAAAGGTGGACCATGCCCACAGGGGACACCCATCCTTCAACATAGTCAGCTAGATGGGCACCAGTATTGCAAACATTGAGACCACAATTGCCATTCCCTTTAAATGTGAGGGAAACACATTGTTTAGGGCTATGCCCTTTTTTTGACCAGTCAATGGATGAATTTACCCCAAGAAGATACTTAACAATAGCTTAACTTTTTCTATTTACACATATGGACAGAGGCATAACACTGTCAACCCATCAAGATAAACATAATCTCAAAGATTCTTCTGAGCCACAAACCAATTTCTCTTTGTTGGGTAGCAACGCTAACAAAGTAATTGATTTTTTTGTTATTCCTTTTAAAAACATTTTACATGTAAACCTTAATTAAGCTCGTACATAAATTTCATTGAATCCTAGAATTTCAGCACGGATTTTTTAATTTTTAGTATTTATTTTATATTAGTAGCCTCAAAATTTGACTTAAAATTCTCAGCAATTCTTAAACATTCCTAGAAATTCCTAGGAATTTTTTACATTTACAGCTTTTCAGGGAAAGTCATTGGTGCTTTGAGTTGGAATTCCTATGAATTCCTAGTAATTCCAAGTCCTGTTGGCTATAAATTTGGAATTTCTGGGAATTTTTGGGAATTTCTGGGAATTTCTAGGTTTTTAGAACCAGAGTTGTTATAGTTGAGACTTCCTAGGAATTCTTAGGAGTTCCCAATCCAAATTTACTGTGACCATTCGCACCTCTTATTCCTAGGAATTGAATTCCTAGGAATTCCAAAGTCCATTCCGCGAGGGATATCGGCCAAGATATCGAGCCCATCTTTTTTATGATATAACAATCAGTCTTAGATTTCTTGCAATTTCTTCCTCTCCTCTAACGATTCTTTCTTTCTAATTTTAAAAGCGTTCAACTTCCTTATAATCTATTTTACCTTCATTTCAAGCCTTGAAATGAAACAAATGAAACAACGTTAAAGCTTAGTTCAATGGTGCTCTGAAAATTCTTTTGACCAGTTTTTAAACAAGTCAAGAAACTAAGATTTCAAACCATTTAAGGGGATCTTCAACACAACCATTAATATTTGTATCTTCTGCTAGCAAGTTTTCCTCTTAAGAGATATGAAACTTATATATCTCTAAAGAGGAAAACTTGCGTCGCGTATCGAGGAATTATTCCTCGATACGCAACGACTTGCTTCATACATTACTCGAAGTACCTGAATTTTGAGGTTTCCTTCTTCTGACTATGTTTTCCTCCTCTTCTTTTTCAGAATAATCAGCTTTCGAAGTACCCTTTCCTCTTCTTGACAGTGTTTTCTCCATTTCAAACGTTACAACAGCGTTTTCGAACTGCTCTGTGAAATGTCTCCAAATAAACGACTACATGATACAGCGCGCAGTCCATTTTATGACTGTATTGCAAAGCACCCACGGATTTGTTTCCCATCGAATGACGAGCCTTTGATAGGTATAGATGTCCATCTCTTATTGAAGCATTCAGGTATTCCCTTTTCTCCTGAAGACATTCGAGAGAGTCAAAACATTACACGGTGAGGTGATCTAGTTTCTCACAAATGTCCTCCATTTTGAAAAAAATTATCGATCGGAGGGAGATTGAGTACGAGGGGTGTCTTGTTCATTTAACATTTAGTGAACTTTATGTTGCATTTCAGTGGATTGCCGTTTGTCAGTAAATGTAAAGGAAGATCTCTCTTCATTTATCGAATGCCTTTTTGTCGGCTTTCGCAATCGTGATGTGACAGACTCTGAACTGTTGAAGGAAGTCAGCCCGAAAGTTAGTGCCAATGATTTTACTGATCATTTCACTACCCGTTAACAGCCGCCGTCTACCTTTAAAGACAATTTAGATTGAGATAAAGCAAGGCCGGCAGAGATGGAAGATAGAAATCTGCGAAGGTCGATCAGTTTGAAATTTTACAATATCCTTCTGGATACAGCCCTCCTCGCAAAGTTATATGGACTTTGATGCAACTTTACGCCTTTTCCTGATGATCAAACGGAAATAGGGGATTCTTTCGCGAAAAAAAACGTGCTACTAAGCGGCGTGTTCATATCGATGGACTCAGCTCACAGATGTACATTGGTCCCGTTAAGTACACTGACATTCCTAGCGTGGAGTCTATTTGCTTTAAATTTGACCTGATCAGGAAGAAAGAAGCCCATGTTTATTCATTGGAAGCGTCAAACCCATTTGCGTTGGATGAATGAATGGGGGAACACTTTCCCACTTACTTCAATTGATCTATATGTAGCTGAGAAAGAAAACTATAAGAATTCTGCGAAGGTACGACGAGATTATTTTTCGAACATAAATGAATCTTTTTTTATCCAAGAAGGGATGGAGCTTTCTCTAGTTATTACAAAGACTCACAATTTTCGCTGGCACTGTTCTTTGCCGTCTTTGAACGCCAGTCGATATTGTGGAAAACGGCTGAGTTCCTCTTTGCTTGAAAATATCTTACGTTTGCCCTATATTTGCGTGTTGGCTACTATTCGAAGACAAACAATTTCAAAGTTTTAACTGTCATGAAGTTTGGACACAAAATTGTGATATTTATAAGACTGAATATCAGATTCCAGTGCGTGAGCTATCGAAGGTTTCCTCGATCTATGTGACGAAAAACTCGTAAGAGATGGTTTCCATGGATTTTCGCTCAAAACAAAATCATTTGCTTCAGCTATCGGTGCGTTCAGTATCGAGGTTCGGAGCTTTGGAAATTTGGATTGTTCACAGTCTTATTTGAGAAAAAACACTTAACACAAACCAAAAAAATCAAATACTATAGAAACTAAACTGCAAAAACAAAACAAAACAAACTCTATTTGAGTTTTTTTCGAGCGGGACAAAACCGCGAGTGAGACGCGATGGCTTCTTGGCTTCGCCCCGAAAAGAAAGAAGATCAAAAACCTCCGCAACTGAAATCAAGAATACCAGTCAGAATGACTCGCCTATGCAGTGATAATGCCAGAAGTTCCTCGTCAAGGGACAAAGCAGATAAAACAGCGCGTCTGCATAAAGATTTAGAAAGCAAAGTTCAAAGCAAGCAATCATCGCGGATTCCGATTGCGGTGAATAGGAGGAAGACCAAAGTTGATTCTAAAGATAATGTACCCATGAATTTCAAAACTACTCGAAGAGGAAAGCCTTTCGGAGGAGATTCAGGTATGTTTATTTCCCAGCAGGTAGCCAGCATTAGTTTTTTCACTTTTTTTAGAACAGTTTCAGGCGAACGGCTGGAATCATCATATTGTCTGTGTTATAACATACGCTGTAGGTAAAAAAAGCAGCAAATGAGATAAATTGGCGCAAACCACGTTGCACAGGGCTGAAAATATGTTATTTCAATGTTCTTTGATTTATAAAACTCGATGAGTAAGACTTGTTTTTAACTTTAAATTCCTGCTAAATTCATCCGTCATCTTGTTTATTTTAAGCCACTTAGTCCATGCTCGTTTGCACAAACTAGTGGTAAATTTCTGCATATACAGCTTCATGACATTTGCTAAAGAAATGAAACGTTTGGAACTATCTTTTCTTAGGGGGAGCTAATTGGTAATCTTGATTTGATCACAGGTATTAAACTGCGAGAAACTCACAGTAAACAAGACAAGAAGACGGCAAGTACCATTCCTTCAACCACAACTAAACAAAGTAGTTATAGGCGCGCTCAGAAAACGACGCCAATTGTCAGGCGACGTGTACCACGACAGCTTACACCAACAGAGACAGGGTCGAAACAGGTAAATCTGGGAGGAAAATGTCATTTCAGTAAATACAAAACGTGAAGTATTTCACAGTGACATCTGTCTCTTTTGGAGGGTCCGGAACTTACTAATATGATTAACCTTTGTTTTACATCTTCGCGAATTAGGAATGTTAGGTTTATAAGGAATATCCAGAAATATAACTGCTGCAACAAAAACAACGCATTTTGTGCTTAAATAATTAGGTTTGCGAGGATGAGAAAGAATCACGAGAAGAAAGCTCATCAAGAGAGATATCATCTGCAGCCAAGGCGGTAGAGGTCGCGCCAGATTTTGAATGTAATGATGCACTTGTGCATGAGGAAGAGCTTCGTTTGGGGGCCAAATCAGATTTTAGTGGTAACGAGATTGGCGACGACTTTATATGTTACTCAAAATCTTGCGACGAGAAAGCAATGCCCAATGTGCCCCAATGGCTGACAGAGGAGTACAAGTTAGTATTCATATCTGCTCTTTTTTCTTCTTTTACAGTCCACGAACTTTTGTCTCTGAATTTCATTTCTGAGGCCAGTAGGGTAAAGAATTCACATCATACAACATGTAGCTGTGCACACTTTCTGATAATCAAAACTTACTCCATTCGCTGAAGCATCATGGTTGTTATATCTAATACATTTCAAAGTATATTTGTGTATTGGCCGCACTGCAATATACTTGCGAGGTCAATTTGTCACAATTGATTTAATAGAGAGCACACTCTCAGAACTTCCGGAAATTTCAGCAAAAGAATATTTACTACCTAGGTAGATAAAGCGAATTGAGGATTGTCTGGTTTTATAATTCAAGGTTTCAGTAAACATGGAAGTGACTAGCTTCACGGCAGCAGAGTTTTCAAAGCCTAAAGGTTTTGCTAAGTTTTAAATTTCTTAAAGAGGTGATTTTCGAAGTTACCGAATTTGTGATGAGGCGTATAATATAGACTTATAAGCAATTTGTCTGCAGAGACTTAAGTATAGTTGACCATTATGAATTAATTTCGTGCAGGGAGAGAGAAGAAAAACAGGAAAACATAAAACTCATTAAAGGTGACACTACTGTTACAAGCTCGGCACAAAATATCAGACTGGAAACAGAGTCTGATACAAAGAACAAGATGGAAGAAAATGTTTTCAGCGAAGAACAGTTGGACTGTAGCTCTTTCACTAAGTTCCAGCGGATACGAACAGAAAATGGCTGAGCTGAACGAAAAATCCAGACGGCTCAAGGCACAGTTTGCGAAGGAAAACAAACAGGCGGTGGAATCCATGAACAAGACAATGGAGGAGATCAAACAGAGCCAGACAAAGGTAGATTGCATCGAAAATGAGATTGAGGAGATGCGACGGAGACGGGATGAAATAAAAGAAGACTTGAAACGCCTTGATGAGATCGGCCAAAGACGAGATCTCGAGGATAAAAAATGGAGAGAAAAAATGGACAAGAAAAACAAGAAACTCGCAAATGCACTGGAGAAGATAAGAGCCAAACGACACAAATATCAAGAAGAGACGGGTGCTGAAAATGACTCAACAGAGGGGCATGATCAACAGGATAAGAATTCAAGTGAAAGTCCGGAAAGTGAGAAAAGCAAAAATGTCACCATAGGAAACGAAACCGTTAGAAACGAAGACGTTGGAAACGAAGTGTTACGTGAGCCTCACCAGATCATAGAGTACAAAAGTGTAAAACAGCTGGAAAAAAAGCGGAAAGAAGTAAAGCAGTTGAAGAGACTGGAAAAGAATGCGATTAAAAGAGAGAAGTTAGAACAAAGACAGCTCAAGAAGATCGAAAAACACAAACTTGAGAAACTCTCAGCTAAGAGTTTAAAGGTTTCTGAAGAAACTGCAGGAGTTGCTGAGTGTATAAACAAGGCCATGGAGACTACGAATACAACGGCGAAAGAGAAAAATGATGAGACCCCGAAAGTAAATAGAATTAAACCATACGTCGTCACCTCTTCAGATATTGCAGAGTCCAGGCAAGTCCAAGCACTCTACTATTCTGGATTAATTACGAATGGTACAAAGAACAAGATGGAAGAAAATGTTTTCAGAGAAGAAAAGTTGGACTGTAGCTCTTTCACTGAGTCCAGCGGATACGAATGGAAAATGGCTGAGCTGGACGAAAAATCCAGACGGCTCAAGGCACAGTTTGCGGAGGAAAACAGACAGGCTGTCGAATCTACGAACAAGACAATGCAAGAGATCAAGCAGAGCCAGGCAAGGGAAGATTGCATCACAAATGAGATTGAGGAGATACAAAGGAGACAGGATGAAATAAAAGAAAACTTGAAACACCTTGATGAGAAATTAGGAGAGACGTTGGCTGAGGTTGATAGGCTTATATTGGGAGATACAAACTCTATGGTCGACGAAACAGCGGACAGCCAACAAAGTAACCCAAAATATAGCAAGGAGGAGGTGCCTCGACAGGATAACTTTGACTGTTTCCCTGATGAAGTTGAGGGAGACATGCACACAGAGAAAAGCAGGTCTCAAGTTTCACAGAGTGCTGAGAACGAGGACAACGAGAAAAATGTCCATGAATGCGACGCCTTACCGAGATATGAGCAATCGGTAGCAGCAGTCGTCAACATAACGGAATATTTAATCCAACAAGAGTTGTCCAAGGCTTTGGAAACAATAATCCCTATCAGTAAAAAAGAGTATACATCGCGATCGGAAGAAAAGATCTCGGAGGAAGAACCAAAGTTCCACAAAGAAATTGTGGAAATGGAATTTGGGAGACTTACAAGGGAAAATACCGAGCTTGAGATGCAGATTTACATCATAAACGAGGAACTTGAAACGTACCGAAAGAGGATAGAAACTTTACAGGCTGATCTGAATGAGAGCAAAGTTGAGGTAAAGCGACTGCAGTCTAAGGAAGAATACAAAGAAAGAGAGTTGGAAAATTTAAAAAGTGAGTTCCAGAGAAAGGAGCAAAAGTGGGAAGATGCAAATGAACTCTTGGAAAAGGTTATGGTGGAAAGAGAAGAGTTATGGGATCATGTTGATTACTTGGAGGAAAGCTTGAAAGACAGTCAAGAAAGCAATGAAACTCTGACATTTGAGGTCGATGAGCTGACGATAATGATACAGGAGATGAAGAGAGAGTACAGAGTGGAGCACAGTCGCTGGGGATGTGGACACCTACGTGAGGAAGTAGAGTTACTAAATGGATCTCTGGAGTTGAATGAACAGCGAACAGTTTTATTAGAGAGCCAATTAGACGCGTTTGAGGCAGAAAGAAAACAGTTATGGGGTCATGTTGATTTCTTGGAGGGAAGCTTAAGAAACAGTCAAGAAAGCAATGAAGATCTGACGTTTGAGGTTGATGAGCTAAAGATAATGATGCAGGAATTGAAAAGGGAGAATACGGAGCTCAGTCGCCATGGATGCAGACATTTACGCGAAGAAGTAGAATTACTAAATGGATCCCTGGAATTGAGAGAACAGAGAGTAACTCTGTTGGAGAGCCAAGTGGACGCGTTTAAAGAAGAAAGCTGTAGCCTTCAAAATGCTGCACAGAACATGAAAAGAGAAATAGAGATTCATAAGAACGAAAATGCCACGAAGACGACGCAGTTGCATAAGCTAGAATGCGAAACATCAAAGACTATTAGTGATCTTAAAGATGACATCGCAAAGTTACAACAAGAAAAGTCTGCATTGTCATCGGAACTATCAAAGGAATCAGAAAAAGATCACCACTTGTATGAGTTAAGATGTGAAAAATCGAGTGTAACAAAAACACTTGAAGATCATATCACAAGGTTGAGGAGAGAGAACTGCACTTTGACTGCAAGACTATCAAAGGCTTACGAAAAGGATGACCAGTTGACTGAACTAAAGAAAAAGTCCAACTTTTACAGAATCAGTTGAAAAAAATGTAACTGAGGCGGCAACGGCGTCTGTGAACAGCAAAGAGAAAGAAATGGAGGAAGATTACCGCATCATAAAGAAGCAAGATGAAACGATCAAAAATTTAATCGAAGAGATAACGCAGGAAAGATGTGACAAGGACCGCCTCGAACAGCAATCTAGAAGAATAAGAGAACTTGAGACTCAATTACAAAAAATGGAAGACATGAAAAGAAACAGAAATCACTCAGTGGATGCCTTGGTGCTTGAGTTGAAACAGGAAAGCTCAGAAAAAGAGCGTCTGAAAAAAAAGGCCATGCAAGCACAAAAGGTTGCTTCTTGTAGAGAGAAAGAGCTTGAAAAGAGAATTGAACTTCTTGAGGATAAGTTACGTGCAGAAGATGAGCTGACAAACGCCACTCTTATGTCTCTAAATAACAAGGAAAGTTTGTTACAGGAAGCTACTGCCACTATCGATATGCTCACAAAAGAACTGGAACGGGAAAAGTCGGAAAAAGAAACTCTGAGAAAGGCTGTCGAAGTGTCTGAGTGTAACTCTCATAACGACAAAAGATTGACTGAGGACATTGAAACACTTCTGGAGCGATTACAAGAGATGAGTGACCTACGAGAGAAGACTCTTATATCTCTTAGAGAGAAAGAATGGTCATTGCAGGAGGCTCATGATGAGATCAATGAGTTAACTCAACAAATAGCACACAAAAAGTCGCACAAAAAGTTGTTCAAGAGGAAGGCTAAGGCTAAAACGGGTGAAGCTTATCGACTGAATCTCATTCAAAAAGGAACAAAAAGATATACACAGGAGAGGGGTTCGTTAATAACAGGCGTGGGAAAACGGCTGAAGAATCTGGTACAAAGACCAAGAGGAGTGTCCGAATCGAGCCTGGTAATGAAAAAGAAGGAAGCCCATGCACAGCGTGTGTTAGACAAATTGAGGGAAGATTTGGATGAAAGAGGAGAAGTCATTCAAGACTTAAGGAGTAATTTCAAAGACAGTGCTAGGGAATTGTCGTCCATGCGACGTCAGCTGGAAGATATTCAATGCCAAAATGCCGAGCTCATAAAATGTCTTGGACACAAGGAGGAGGATCTTCAAAAGACGCAAAGATACTTAAAAGAAAAGGAAGCCAACCTTGATGTCACAAATGAAACCCTGCGTTTGAAATGCTCGCTTCTCAGAGCCATGGAGGCCAAATTATGTCTGACGAAGAAAGAGATTGAAGAACTGACAACAGTGAACAAAGAGAAAGGCTTAGAGATAACTCGCATTGAGACAACCCTTACAGAAGTGAGAAAAAAGTTCGTTATTGCTGCATCCTTCATCGAGAAGCAAAATGAACAATGTGCTAACCTTAGGACTTATGCTATGAGGAAGACCCGAGATGCGGATAAGATGCAAGACGAATTGAAGCGTTTCTCAACTCAACTTGAAAATAGCAGGAACGAGAACGCAAACCTACACAGAGCATTGTTAGCTGCTACAGAGCGTCTTACAAGGGAGAAGCATAGGCAGCTCAGCAGGACTGAGTTACTGAAAGATGGGCACGAAAGGAAGTCCTCTGAGTCATCATGTGAGGTGAGATATTTCCCTCCCTAAGCGCGAGACGCAGGAGCGATGACAGCGATCTTGAAGCACGAGACGATGTACACGAAGTCTACACCCTAAAATCCCATTGTCAACTTTCACTTTCTGCTCTTTTTGGAATTAGTTTATGTGCTGTAATTTTGACATGCATATTTTCAAGCGAGTAATTCATTTATTTCGTACCTTCTACAGGAAAGCACTTCTAACACCCTGAAAGCCAGGAGACAAATGGATGCGTACAAAATAACATTTTTGGAAGACGAGTGTAATGTGTCAGGCAGTAATCAGGGAGACACTAAAAATAAATGGTCAGTAATATATATTTTTTGTTACTAGGATATGTAACAATCATACCATTAGTGCATTTTGGATATGAGATGGTAGCTAGCCAACGAAATGCGTAGCGTCGAGTGGAGTATCACCAGTCTCGTATCGAATAAGCGTCTGATGAGATAATTGTTAATTATTCAATTACATTAAATCTCGAACGTTTGGATATTTGGAACTTTTTTCAGCTCCGTGCAATGTATTTCCATGTAAAGTGACTAGGAATATGAGCTGATAACCGGAGTTGAATAAACCAATCAGAAGATTAGAAATGCAACATTCGGGGTTGAAAATTTAATGACATGATATAGCTTTAAGTAAAGCTGCAACCCTCGTCACAACTGTTGCAGAATGAATCTTTTTGGCCGCATTTGAAAGGCTAAGTATTTGAAAGGGGTTAGTGATAAATCAAAACTAGACGAAGATTTTTGCCAGCTAATGGAAACCCTTTTAGCCTAATATTTTTTAAACAAGGTTATTCCTGGAATTAAAAAATTTCAAAAAGAGCCAAGATCCATTCATTGGGACTTACGCAATATTTAAAGGTCACATTTTCACCAGTCATAGCGTATCGTCTTCAATGATATCTTTATATTTTCTTCAAACTTCTCCCTGTCATCTTTCAACGGGTAATTTAGAAATAAAAGTGTCTCTCACTTTTAATTGCAGGTTCAATACTTTTAGATTGGACGAACATCACTTTGAGACACGGAGAGATCGACATTTTAACTGCGCTGGTACTATCGCTAAGGTTGACCATACTATGCAGAACTTCTCAACACACGGATCACCTCATTCAGTTTCGATGCTTCTGTGCAATGGTTAATATTTTGCGGGAGAAATACCAATGCAACGAATTGACAAACCGAAGCCAAGTGTGATGACATAAGATTAATTTTTATCATTGAAAATATTGGATGCAATCGAGATAATCTTTTTTTTCTTTTGGAGAGAGCGAACGGTATACTTATTAACTTCAAATAAGCATTCATGCCTTGACATTAAGTGTAAATATATTAAAATACTCTAAAAGGATGTTCATTTTTGTTCTGTGTTAGGGAAGGGGACAGTACATAATAAGAAAAGGAGCAACCTTCTTATTGTAACTCACAGACCCTTATACACAAGCAGGGGATTGGAAGGCAAAGTTTCCCCACCTTAATCACTCTGTTTACGAACATGACATGATTGTAACAGTGTGCACTTGAAAAACACGAACCTAGCATGTGCTTGGCTTATCCTGAAGTCTGTGCTGTAGCTCAGTTTTGTAGCATTGGAGCGGAATTTAAAAACGTCCGGTTCTATGGAGGGTGGGGGCTCAGATTCTTCTTTGTCCCATGATCTTACAAAACGAACAGCACTGCTCGAGTTCATGATGTTGAAGCTAAATCGAGAAGTCCTGGGTCAAGTTCCTTCCATCTGCCATCTTGTCAATTTCGGGGCTATGACAAACAGTGACGCATTTGTTCATTGGCGCTGATAATGATAGCAAAACTTAACCATGATACTTTGATTTCATTAGAAGTTTTACCAAGTAATAAATTGGTTGACCCTTGTTGAAGTTGAGTGTGACCTAGGCACTGCTAATTAATATTTACCGATAAACATCCGGTTTCTTGTATTTTTATGTCATAAGGTTTTCCATGGGTGTCACAGGAAAAAAAGCTTCTTTTTGTTCGTGGGAACGGATGACAAAGTTGATAATGTTGCATTTACCAAAATGGAAAGAGCTGTAATATTTGAAACGAAACGCGTTGAAACGATCATCTTCCATTATCTTGGAAATTTAAAGATGAACCTTCACGAGTGTAGTTCTTCGTTTCTTTGTAAGGGATAGATTTCCTTGTAAACCCATAATATACTAAAACAAGGCCTCTGCCATGTTAGTCTTCGCCTCATGTGGTGGAGGGAGGGGTGGGAGGAGGATTTGGTGGGATCGCACAGTTTTCAAGGGGGAAAGGAAGGGAGATCAGTAGTCGCCAACAGATCGTCCAACACCCCCAGCCGAAAAGAAAAACAGAACAAAACAAAAAAGTTCAAATAGTCAAAGGAAAAAACAAAATCCTTATAATCAGTTTTAAAGTTACGGATAGCTACTTTCAAAGTATAAGAAGTGCATTCGTCAGTTTTTTTTTTCTGAAAATTGGCCAGCACCCACCCTGGATGGAAAGGACGCTGTGAGATTAACGTATGTTGCCAAAGAACAGAACTCAATGGACTGGTTACAGCTGAACCTAGACCTTTCTTCCTGAACGACAGACTGTTTACTAGCGGTATGAAATGTCCACTCTCATCGGGTGATTATTGAGCTAAACTATTTGCTAGGCCAACAACGGATTTGCAATCGCGTGCGCAGGGGCAGATCCTGGATAGTGAGATGAAATCTTAACATCACTCCATACCAGGACAACATTAGCAAATAGTCAAAAAGAAAGTCATCTTCAAAAAAATACGGAAAAACCTTTAATGAAAAAAAGGAGGGAAGACGAAAGTTATTTCTCGGGAAAGGTGGCTGTAGAGAAAATTGCTTAGTCATATGGCTCGAAGCTTTTACTGCGTCAGTGTTAAAGAAGAGTTTATGAGTATTGCTTTTTGATACGCAATTTACGTAATTTTGTCTCAAAAGGGCAGGCTCGATGAATGGATTTTTTTTTCTTAAACAAAGCGAAGAGTTGAGAGGGCCATCGTGTCACACTCCTACCTATAATTCACTCTCACCTTAACCTCCACACCCCCCCCCTTTTACTGAAACAGAAATGGACAGGCAACGGATGGTGGCGTTATAATGACGAATTTCTAAAACATTTTTTTCATCTAACAAGACATTAACCTTGGTGATGGTACTGAATTTGAGAACTTCAACAATTAATTCAGCACTTATTCTTCATAATTAAAGAGCTCACGAAACAGAATAATTCACTAGGTATAGGTTGAAACATCTATGGTTTTCAAACATGTACTATAACCTTCATCAACATTAAGGAATCAAGATAGATCTTTTTGGGGACATGTAAAATTTTAACAGCATATAGTGGTTTTCATTCATTTCCTATGGTAGTGACCAGGGGAACTTATTAAATAGCCGAGTAGAAGATCATTTCCTTGATTTTCAAGAACTTTATGTTTGATTACCGGGTGATAATGTCAGGAAAGAATAAAATTTCAGTCACTCCTAAGAGGTAAGCAAGTTAACCATCATTTTATTAAAACATTGAAGGAGGTCAATTTTTCCCAAATTCACTACCCCATTTGAAGTCTGCAAACAAACAATTATTAGTGAAGAACTGCATTATTATAATTACCAGTGCTTCTATGATCTTTGTGTAAATTCCACTAAATATCAAAGATCTTCAGCATGGAAGGAAGTTATCTTGATTCAGTAGATGAAGTTAATTGAAACCTGATATTTCTTCTGACAAAAGGCTAACACTTGAAACGTCAGCTTTAGGAACTCTTAACAACAGCTATTTTACATGAACTCAGTTGATAGAACAAAATCATTTTGTAATACCCCCACTGATGCAGCACCACAGTTCTTTTTTTCGAAATTCACCCCTTTTATTCATTTATTTAGAAAGGTTAATTTGTTCTCCTAGTCCAGTGAATGATCCCATATTTTCTGAACATGATTCCTATTGAATCAACCTCAAAATCAAATAAATTCATTCCTGTCATAGACTGAAGTAACTGCAATACTTTTGCATAAAACAATTGAAGACCCTTCACTGTGTTGGTAACTGATCTCTTACTCATCAATATTTCAGTACAGAAAATATCCTACATTTGACTCAAAGAAAAGAGCTAATATCCCTTGAGAACTGAATTCCCAGTTTTCTGGGAATTCCTAGGAATTCTCAAAAATTCCAACTATGCAAATAGGCTCTGATTTGAAAAGCTTGGAATTACTAGGAGCTTTTGGGGAAGGAAGACTCCAGTTTAATGAGGACTTGGAATTCTTTGGAATTCCTAGGAATTCTCAGCTATACAAACTACCCACAATTTGAGAAAGGTGGAATTCTTAGGAAATTCTGAGAATTTAAAATTTGAGACAGTTTAAATGCGCTAAGATATTCACATAAATTCCAAGAAATTCTCAATACCTTGAATGTGAAGGTTTTAAGAAAAGGACTAATTTTAGAGGCTTAAAACTTTGGCTCAGTAAAAGGTATGCTATACAAAATTTACCAAGAGATATAGATACATGTATATGTTTATAACTTAAAGATCACAAAATTTATTATTCAAACTAATTTTTAGTAAATCTTTACATTAATATGGATTTTCTCACAAAGCAGCAGTAAATTATGTTAAATGCAAGTTGCCAATGTACAGAACCTTGGAACAGTCAAGCTCATGCAGTTGCCTCAAACACTGTCAGAGATCTTTTGTTCAGATTATTTTTAGTAGAAACTTCATGCCTTGGACAAACAAATTCAACACCTATTTAATCTTTCTTTTTCCATGATTATTGCTGCTGTTTTTTCTTTTTTTTTGGCTCTTTTTATTCTTACAAAACATTTTTTGTAAGAGTTCCAATACTCAAGGATTATTCACACACTCCACAAACATTTGGCATGCAGACAAGACAGAGGTGGTCACTGTTCCCTTCAAGAAATAACACCTTTTCCTTGATTTTTTCGATTCGTTTTACTTGAAGCTCAGGTCTGAAAATATTTTAAAGACTTGTTACTAGTGAGAAGTACAAACCAAGTTTCTTTTCATAACTTAGTTTCTTAAATTTCCAGGTCCAAAATACAAGTCCTTCGTCATATACAAATGAGACTTGCAAGTCACACTTCAATAATCACAGCTCTAAGGTTACCTATTGTTCTTCTCTGAGTCAGCTATCAACAAAATTGTTTTATATTTTTTAGGTATGGTATAAAATTCAGTTTGTAATTTAAAATGAGAACCTTAGTTTAAAAAAGTCATTTCTGATGGTGAATTCAACTGCTTTCATTACAATTTCTAATACTCAAATTTATTTGTACCATTCTTATTTCATTTAATATGTGATGACCAGCCTCACTAAAGAAGAACGGATTCCAGAGATCTGGCTGTACTTCTCTAAAGACTGCCAATGTGATCCCAGACTGCCTATCCCACACAAAACACTCAACCTCTCCAACCTTGCCACAGGCAAACAAGAGAACATGGCCATTCTGCTCTACCATTCTGGTGTACTCCTTAAAGTAAAACACTTGTCCATTCTTGAGAATTCGTTGCACTTAAACTTTGTTGCCTCCAATAACTTCCATATCAATCTTCTCCATTAACTCTTGTGGTAGCCCTACAGTTTCTTAGCCCCTCCAGCAATGAAGCAATTCTCTGCCTTCTTTTGATTTTTAATTCACTCTAAAACATAAATGGAAAAAAGGAGATTAATATCTTTAATAACAGTGTGTTTTTCAAGCAAAAAAGAAGTTGTCAGTAGTGTAAAGAAGCTACTGATGATGATGATGATAACAATTGCTATCAATATTACTAAAACTGTCATAAAAGATCAGACAAGTACACTTAAGAGCAAAATATCACTCACTCTCTTTTGGTGTTCAGCATTCTTTTGATAAAGTCCTTAACACGACCATTTTCTAACATATCTACCTCGCATCTTAAGCGACTCTGAGCATGAAGCATCCATACAACCTAGGAACAAATTCAAAATTGCACATTAATAATTCATTTCTCCAAATGGAGTGGGAGAAGTAAGTTATAAATCTACTTAATTTAAATTTATGACAGAGGAACCTAATAACAAAGTTAGCTAGGGCTCATGAAAATTTATGTCTAAACAACTGTAAATTATTTAACAGGGTAGGAACAATATCTTGACTGGTCCAATTAAAACAACAACAGATACATTTTACTTTAAGTTAAATGTCTAAACACTGTGTATTTGTTTTGTAAATTATTTAACAAATACCTGGAATGCAATTAAGTTTAAGATATGTCTACAGATGTGTAAAGTCCAATATTCATGTAACCAAAGGTGGACTTCACAGTGGACCCCATCCTTCAACATGAACAATTGCCATTTCCTTTAAATGTGAGGGAACACACTGTTTGACTTTTTTTGACCAGTCAATGGGTGAATTTACCCCAAGAAGATACTTTACAAAAGCTTAGCTTTTTCTATTAACACATATGGACAGAGGCATAACTGTCAACCCATTAAGATAAACATCATCTTAAAAATTCTTCTGAGCCACGAACCAATATCTCTTTGTTGCGTAGCAATGCTACAAAAGTAATTGATTTTTTGTTATTTCTTTTAAAAACATTTTACATGTAAACCTTAATTAAGCTTGTACATAAATTTCATTGAATCCTAGAATTTTAACAGGGATTTTTGAATCTTTAGTATTTATTTTATATTAATAGCCTCAAGAATTTGACTTAAAACTCCCAGTAATTCCAAAACATTCCTAGAAATTCCTGAAAATTCCTACAAATTCCTTGGAAATTTTTTACATTTACAGCTTTTCAGGGAAAGTCATTGGTGCTTTGAGTTGGAATTCCTAGGAATTCCTAGGAACTTTAAGTCCTGTTGGCTATAAACTTAGAATTTCTGGGAATTTCTCGGTTTTTAGAACCAGAGTTGTTATAGTTGGGACTTCCTAGGAATTCCCAGTCCGAATTTATCGTGAAAATTGACACCTCTTATACCTAGGAAATCCGAGGAATTCCAAATCCATTCCGCAAGGGATATCGGCCAAGATATCGAACCCATCTTTTTTGTGAGATAACAATCAGTCTTCGATTTCTTGTAATTTCTTCCTCTCTTCTAACAATTCTCTCTTTCTAATTTTAAAACCCTTCAACTTCTTTATAATCTCTCTCACCTTCATTTCAAGTCTTGAAATGAAACAAATGAAACGTGAAAGCTTAGTTCAATGGCGCTCTGAAAATTTCTTTTGACCAGTTTTTAAACAAGTCAAGGAACCAAGATTTCAAACCATTTAAGGGGATCTTCAACACAACCATATATGTAACTTATATATCTCTAAAGAGGAAAACTTGCGTCGCAATTCCTCGATACGCGACGTTGCTTCATACATTGCTCGAAGCACCTGAATTTTGAGGTTTCCTTCTTCTGACTATGTTTTCCTCATCTTCTTTTCAGAATAATCGGCTTTCGAAGCACCCTTTGCTCTTCTTGGTAGTGTTTTCTCCATTTCGAAAGTTACAACAGCGTTTTTGAACTGCTCTGTAGAAATGTCTCCAAATAAACGACTGCATGATACAGCGCGCAGTCCATTTTATGACTGTATTGCAAAGCACCCACGGATTTGTTTCCCATCGAATGACGAGCCTTTGATAGGTTTAGATGTCCATCTCTTATTGAAGCATTCAGGTATTCCCTTTTCTCCTGAAGACATTCGAGAGACTCCAAAAATTCAACGATGAGGCGATCTAGTTCCTCACACGCGTCCTCCATTTTGAAAAGAGAAACGAGGGAGATTGAGTACGAGGGAATGTCTTGCACACTTGTCAACATTTAGTCAACTTCAGGTTGCATTCCAGTGCATTGCCGTTTGTCAGTAAATGTAAAGGAAGATCTCTCTTCATTGATCGAATGCCTTTTTGACGACTTTCGCAATCGTGATGTGACAGACTCTGAACTGTTGAAGAATGTCAGTCCGAAAGTTAGTGTTCATGATTTTACTGATCATTTCACTACCCGTTAACAGCCGCCGTCAAGACAATTTAGATTGAGACAAACTAAGGCCGGCAAAGATGGAAGATAGAAATCTGCGAAGGTCGATCAGTTTGAAATTTTACAATATCCTTTTGGATACAGCCCTCCTCGCAAAGTTATATGGACTTTTGATGCAACTTTACGCCTTTTTCTGATGATCAAACGGAAATAGTGGATTCTTTCGCGAAAAAAGCGTGCTACTAAGCGGTGTGTTCACATCGATGGACTCAGCTCACAGATGTATATTGGTCCCGTATAGTACACTGCCATTCCTAGCGTGGAGTCTATTTGCTTTAAATTTGATCTGATCAGGAAGAAAGAAGCCCATGTTTATTCATTGGAAGCGTCAAACCCATTTGGGTTGGATGAATGAATGGGGGAGCACTTTCCCACTCACTTCAATTGATCTATATGTAGCTGAGAAAGAAAACTATAAGAATTCTGCAAAGGTACGATGAGATTATTTTTCGAACATAAATGAATCTTTTTTGATCCAAGAAGGGATGGAGTTTTCTCTAGTTATTACAAAGATTAACAATTTTCGCTGGCACTGTTCTTTGCCGTCTTTCCACGCCAGTCGATGTTGTGGTAAACGGCTGAGTTCCTCTTTGCTTGAAAATATCTTACTTTAGCTGTATATTTGCGTGTACCATTCGAAGACTATTATATTTATATACCATTATATTTTATTTATATACCATTATATTTTATTTATATACCATTATATTTGCGTCTACCATTCGAAGACAAACAATTTCAAAGATTTTACTGTCATGAAGTTTGGACACAAAATTGTGATATTTATAAGACTGAATATCAGATTCCAGTGCGTGAGCTATCGAAGGTTTCCTCGATCTATGTGACGAAAAACTCGTAAGAGATGGTTTCCATGGATTTTCGCTCAAAACAAAATCATTTGCTTCAGCTATCGGTGCGGTCAGTATCGAGGTTCGGAGCTTTGGAAATTTGGATTGTTCACAGTCTTATTTGAGAAAAAAAACACTTAACACAAACCAAAAAAATCAAATACTATAAAAACTAAACTGCAAAAACAAAACAAAAGAAAACCGCGGGTGAGACGCGATGGCTTCGTGGCTTCGCCCGAAAAAAAAAAAAGACGACCAAAAACATCTTCCTTCTCCGCAACTGAAATCAAGAATACCAGTCAGAATGAATCGTTTATGCAGCGACAATGTCAGAAGTTCCTCGTCAAGGGACAAAGCAGATAAAACAGCGCGTCTGCAAAAAGGTTTAGGGAGCAAAGTTCAAAGCAAGTGGTCATCACGGATTCCGATTGCGGTGAATGGGAGGAAGACCAAAGTTGATTCTAAAGATAATCTACCCATGAATTTCAAAACTATTCAAGGAGGAAAACCTCTTGAAAAAGATTCAGGTATGTTTATTTCTCAGCAGTTAGCCAGCATCAGTTTTTTCACTGAAGTAATATATCGAAAATTGAAGACATTCTATAAAACAGTTTCAGGCGAACGGTTGGAATCACCATATTGTCTGTATCATAACATACGCCGTAGGTAAAAGAAGCAGCAACTGAGATAAATTGACGGAAACCAAGTTGTACAGGGTTGAAAAGACACTAATTAAATGTTCCTCGATTTAAAAAAGTCGATGAGTAAGACTTGTTTTTAACTTTAAACTCCTATTTAATGTAGAAAAAGATTACTGCCATTAATTAATTCTCGGTTGTCATCACATTTCTATTCATTTATTTGTTTATTAACTCTTTGTTCAGTTTTCCATTTCATTTATTTATCTATTTTATTTATTAACATATTTGAACTTCACCTGAGTAAAGATTTTCCTCAAGTTTCTAAGATTTTGATCCAGAATTAAGCAAGCCTCTTTCGGTTGCTAATTTCATCAGCCATCTTGTTTATTTCAAGCCACTTAGTCGATGCTTGTTTGCACAAACTGGAGGCAAATTTCTGCAGTTACAGCTTCATGACATTTGCTAAAGAAATGAAAAGCTTGCACCTAATTTTTCTAAGGGGGAGCTAATTGGTAATCTCGATTTGATCACAGGTATTAAACTGCGAAAAACTCAAGGTACACAAGACAAGAAAACGGAAAGTGCCATTCCTTCAACCACAGCTAAACAAAGCAGTTACAGGCGCGCTCCGAAAACCACGCCAATTGTCAGGCGACGTGTACCACGACAGCTTACACCAACAGAGACAGAGTCGAAACAGGTAAATCTGGGAGGAAAATGTCATTTCAGCAAATACCAGAGGTGAAGTATTTCACAGCGACAACTGTCTCTTTTGGAGGGTCTGGAACTTAATACCGTGATTAGCCTTTGTTTCACATCTTCAAGAATTAGGAATGTTAGGTTTATGAGAGACATCCACAAATATAAAAGCTGCAACAAAAACAACGCATTTTGCGCTTTTATAATCAGGTATGCCAGGATGAGAAAGAATCACGAGAAGAAAGCTCAGCGAGAGACAAATCATCTGCAGCAAGGGCGGAAGAGGTCACGCCAAATGTCACCACAGCTAAACAGAGCAGCTATAGGCGCGCTCAGAAAACGACGCCAATTGTCAGGAGACGCGTACCACGACAGCTTACATCAACAGAGACAAAGTCGAAACAGGTAAATCTGGGAGGAAAATGTCATTTCAGCAAATACAAGAGGTGAAGTATTCACAGTGACAACTGGCTCTTTCGGAGGGTCTGGAACTTAATATCGTGATTAGCCTTCGTTTCACATCTTCGCGAATTAGGAATGTTAGTTTTATGAAGGATATCCAGAAATATAACAGCTGCAACAAAAACAACGCATTTTGTGCTTAAATAATCAGGTTTGCAAGGATGCGAAAGAATCACGAGAAGAAAGCTCAGCAAGAGAGAAATCATCTGCAGCAAGGGCGGAAGAGGTCACACCAGAGGTCACCACAGCTAAACAAAGTAGTTATAGGCGCTCTCAGAAAACGACGCCAATTGTCAGGCGACGTGTACCACGGCAGCTTCCACCAACAGAGACAGAGTCGAAACAGGTAAATCTGGGATGAAAATTTTATTACAGCAAATGCCAGAGGTGAAGTATTTCACAGTGACAACTATGTCTTTTCGAGGGTCTGGAACTTAATATCGTGATAAGCCATTGTTTCCCATCTTCGCGAATTAGGAATGTGAGGTTTATGAGGGATATCCACAAATATAAAAGCTGCAACAACAACAACGCATTTTGTGCTTTAATAATCAGGTTTGCAAGGATGAGAAAGAATCACGAGAAAAAAGCTCAGCACAAAATATCAGACTGGAAACAGAGTTTGGTACAAAGAACAAGATGGAAGAAAATGTTTTGAGCGAGGAAGAGTTGGACTGTAGCTCTTTCACTGAGTCAAGCGGATACCAACGGAAAATGGCTGAGCTGAACGAAAAATCCAGACGGCTCAAGGCACAGTTTGCAGAGGAAAACAGACAGGCTGTCGAATCTATGAACAAGACAATGGAGAAGATCAAACAGAGCCAGGCAAGGGAAGATTGCATCACAAATGAGATTGAGGAGATGCGACGGAGACGGGATGAAATAAAAGAAGACTTGAAACGACTTGATGAGATCGGCCAAAGACGAGAGCTCGAGGATAAAAAATGGCGAGAAAAAATGGACAAGAAAAAGAAGAGAGTCGCAAATAGATTGGAGAAGATAAGAACCGAACGACGTAAATATCAAGAAGGGACGGCTGATGAAAATGACTCAACAGAAGGGTATGATCAACCGGATAAGAATCCCAGTGAAACTCCAGAGAGTGAGAAAAGCAAAAATGTCACTATAAGAAACGAAACCGTTATAAACGAAGACGTTGGTAACGAAGAATTACGTGAGTCTCATCAGATCATAGAGTACAAAAGTGTAAAAGAGCTGGAAAAGAAGCGGAAAGAAGTAAAGCAGTTGAAGAGACTGGAGAAGAAGGCGATTAAAAGAGAGAAGTTAGAACAAAGAGAGCGTAAGAAGATCGAAAAACAGAAGCGAAAAGTTGCTCGCAAACTTGAGAAACTCTCAGCTAAGAGTTCAAAGGTTTTGGAAGAAACTGCAGTAGTTGCTAAGTGTATAAATGAGGCCATGGAGGCTACGAATACAATGGCGAAAGAGAAAAATGATAAAACCCCGAGAGCAAATGGAATTAAACCATCCGTCGACACCTCTTCAGATATCGCAGAGTCTAAGCAAGTTCAAGCACTTCACTCTTCTGGATTAATTACGAATGGAGCGGAGGTTGAGAAATTGGAAGAGACGTTGGCTAAGGTTGATAGGCTAATATTGGGACATACAGACTCTATAGTGGACGAAACAGCGGACAGCCAACAAAGTAACCGAAAATATAGCAAGGAGAGGGTGCCTCGACAGGATAACTTTGACTGTTTCCCTAATGAAGTTGAGGGAGACATGCACACAGAGGAAAGCAGGTCTCAAGTTTCACTGAGTGCTGAGAATGAGGACAACGAGAAAAATGTCCATGAATGCGACGCCTTACCGAGATATGAGCAATCGGTGGCAGCAGTCGGAAACATAACGGAATATTTAATCCAACAAGAGTTGTCCAAGGTTTTGGAAACAATTATCCCTATCAGTAAAAAAGAGTATATATCACAATCGGAAGAAAAGATCTCAGAGGAAGAACCAAAGCTCCACAAAGAAAATGTGGAAATGGAATTTGGGAAACTTAAAAGGGAAAATACCGAGCTCGAAATGCAGATTTGCATCATAAACGAGGAAC